GCCGTGACAATGTAAATTGATAGCTTATCTTCACAGGTATAGGACAAAGGACAGAACTCAAAGTCATCCCCCTGCTCACCTGAAAAAATACTTATCTGACCGCTTTTTCTGATGTAAAAATGCAGATTCACTGAGCTAGAGGAAGGCATAAGTGACTATTCCTCTACCTTCTTCTCACATATAAATTGTGTATTCCATGAAAGGCTGATCAAAGACTCAAAGGAAGGCATCTGTTTGTCTCTCATCTACACAAATCTTTTGAAAATTTCTTCTTCTTTTCCCAATACCTATCCTTTCCCCTTTAAATACTGAAGCCCTCAAAATCAACTTTGCAGAAGGCACAGGCCTACCTCCTGGGCACATGTCTTTAACCTTGGCAAGATAAACTTTCTAAATTTATTGTGATCTCTCTCAGATACTTTTTAGTTCCCAAATCAATTGTCCAAAATCCCACACCTAGTAAAAATGTCAAAGCCTGATTCAAGTCCAAGCTGGCTCACTCTGAGGTGCATGTAGTGTTCAGTAAGGAAAATAGAAACTACATTAAGTATTTCAAACAGAAAGAATTAGTACAGGGGATTGTTTACACAGCTGCTGGGGAGGGATGGAAAAGAGCTGATATAATCTAAAGATATTTTTAACTGCAGGAAGCAGCTATCAGAGATGTATGGTTTCCAAAACCTAGGAGCTAGGAGGAAGGGCCCTGTGGGGCTAGTGCTGAAACCTCTGAAGAGGATTTGCCTTGCTGAAAGCACAGTGAATGTTTCTTCTCTGCTTTGCTCACTTTCCAGTCTCCTGACAGTGCTTTCTGCAAGAAGAGGTTAATAAGAAGCCAGCTGGCAAGAACACTGGGAAATGAAATTTACGGTGCCTCAATCCCGGTGTCATGGAGCAGAATACAGAAAGGAGCTGAAAGACACAGCTCAATGCCCTTAAATCTATGCCATAAGCGATAGGGTGAGAGATTTTAAAAGCACCAAACCTCAACTGTTTTGCTCAGAACAGGATGGGATGACTAAGGAATGCAAAAATGCATTAATATAAGAATTCTTTAATATAAGAATACCTATTCAACTTAAGAATACACCATAGCTAGCAGGGCACGGTGGCTCATGCCTGTAATCCCAGCACTTTGGGAGGCTGACTCAGGCAGAACACAAGGTCAGGAGATCGAGACCATCCTGGCCAACATGGTGAAACCTCGTCTTTACTAAAAAATACAAAAAGTAGCTGGGCGTGGTGGTGTGCGCCTGTAGTCCCAGCTACTTGGGAGGCTGAGGCAGAAGAATTGCATGAACCTGGGAGGCAGAGGTTGCGGAGAGCGGAGATCGCGCCAGTGCGCTCCAGCCTAGGTAACAAGAGGGAAACGCCGTCTCAAAAAGAAAAAAAAGAAAAGAATAGAGCCACTGCACACCAGCATGGGCAACAAGAGCGAGACTCTACCAAAAAAAAAAAAAAAAAAAAAAAAAAAAAAAAAAAAAAAAAAAAAAAAAAAAAAAAAGAAAAAAAAGAAAAGAATATACCATAGCCTACTAAACTGTTGGCCCTGCAGATACAATTACTAAGAAAGTGACTGGACTCTTTTGACATTGTTGATGAAAAAGAGTTGAACTCTGTAAAATATTTGAAGAGATTATTTTGAGCCAAATATGAGTGAACATGGCCTGTGACACAGACCTCAGGGGGTCCTGAGAACACGTGTCCAAGGTGATCGGGGTGCATCTTGGTTTTGCACACTTCAGGGAGGCATGAGACATTAATCAAAAACATTTAAGAAATACATTGGTTTGGCCCAGAAAGATGGGACAACTCAAAGCCAGGGGGCTTTCAAGCTATAGGTGGATTTAAACATTTTCCGGTTGACAATTGGTTGAGTTTATCTAAAGACCTGGATTGACAGAAAGGAATGTTCAAGTTAAGATAAAAGATTGTGGAGACCGAAGTTCTTTTGAAGTCTTAAGGTGACTGCCCTTAGAGACAATAGATGGCAAATGTTTCCTATTCAGATCTCAGTTAATCTCTTTAGGGCTGGAAGGGTCTGGAAGAAAAAGATCTAGCTATGTTAACAGATTCCTTACAGATGCGAATTTTCTCCCACAAAGAAGAGCTGTGCAGGGCCATTTCAAAATATGGCAAAGAAACATGTTTTGCAGTAAAATATTTTTTCTTTCTTGACTTGTAATGTTATGCCAGAGTCAGGTTGGAAAGTAAGTCACGATATATAGGGTTAAATAAAACCCATCTGATAAGAACTTACAATTTGTAAGGCATGACTCCCCTTAGAATCACTTGAACCTGGGAGTCAGAGGTTACAGTGACCAAGATCGTCCCACTGCATATAAGTTCTGGGGAAGAACTTTATTTGCTGCTGTTTGAACTGTTTCCTAGCCTTCTTATTCTAGGTACCCTTCTCAAATTTGGAAGCCTTGTCTGGTGTCATTGTATAAAATTATACTAAAATTTCTAGTTTATAATGTATGGTGAAGACTAAACTCTGATTTTTTTTTATTTGGGCAAAATAAAAAAAATTTATACAATGACACCAGACAAGGCTCCGAAATTTGAGAAGGGTCCCTAGAATAAGAAGGCTAGGAAACAGTTGAAGCAGCAGCAAATAAAGTTCTTCCCCGGAACTTACATGCGTCTTTCAGGCCACATGAAATTACATGTGTATGTGACCAATTTCTAGCTGACAGGAACTTTTGGTGACACAACATCTCTCTCTTTGCACATGACAAAGACCAGCTCATAACTCACAGCAAATCACCATTCCAATTTCTGGGCCCCACTTCCTCTTTACCAGCACCCTGCTCTTCAAATTCTAGCTGCTTTAGGAATCCTAAACTCCCTTTTAATTCATCCCTTTTGAGGCTCAGAAGCTACAGTTCAAATAAAACTAAGATTGTTTCATTTCTGCAAAGGGAAGATGTGAAGCTACATTGATTTGCCTTATTACTGGCATCTGAAACCTAGTAGAACATTTGACAATTTCATAATGAAGTCATTGTGGGTAAAGGAGCTTAGCTGGAGCTTTGGGCTTCATTTCAAACAGCAGGGACAAAAGGAAGTACCTCAACATTAGCAGCATCAGCAAAAGGCGCAGCAGCATAATGACTCACCTGAGGCTCAGTTCAAGTGAATTCAATCATTTGTTTACATACAGTTGAATCTGGGGCTCAGATATTCCCCATATTCTGGCATACATGATCATTATTTCCTGAGCAGTCATATATTCCAGCAAGGCATCATATTCAAGACAATAACCAATTCTTGACCTTACCTAATTACAAGAATTGCATTAAGTAAAAATCCGAGTCATTCATCCCACTAGACAACCATGAATAAGATGGCAAACATGCAGTCCTCCAGGCCATGCTTCTAAGAGTCCTACCAAGATACTTTTTTCTAAAGGGCTACAAAATTAGAGCTGTCAGATCTATTGTAGGACATTGGAATCATAGGCTCTGTAATTCAGTTTTAATGATCTTGGGGATAAAGAAGTTAGAAATGAAATTCCAGAGCCTACTCATTTTGGAGGAGTACTAGAATATGAGATGCTCTTCTCAATCATCAAGAACTCTAAGGGGAATGGCCGCCATGGATGTATTTGTACTGTTCAACCTGTACAACATCTTGTTCCATATTAAGGCTGATCCAGAAGCAAGGCCTTTCCCCACCCTGCCAACCTGGAGACTGCAATGAGCGTTGCTTTAGCAATTAGTCAAGCCCCTCTGTTGATTTGCACTCAGGTGAACATAGCCTATGAACCAGAGAAAGAGCTACAAATTCAATTTTGTTTTAATTGGAGACTTCTAATGTTCCTAGACTCTTCATAGATACAAACTCAAATTCCCTCTTTATCTAAAAAAAAAAAAAAAAAGAACAGTAGGAATCTGGTGGATGTCACTTTATAATCAACAATATCCAATTAAGGATTTGAAAACACTGAACAAGACATCCCAAAATAGAGCAGCTTTACAGACTCTCTTCACCTTGCCATTCCACAAGAACTGTCCTAGCTGTCTACTCAGTTGTCTATGAATCCTGAAGAGGTGATTAGAGTTCTCATCTTATTTATGGGGGACTTCATCTATCTACCAAAGCAAGAATCAGAAGAAACTCTCTGTGTCCCTCCCTCTCCACTTTATTTCTCCTTCTTTTCTTCTTTATTAGAGGTGAGACAATGGTAGAAAAGAAAACACACTATTTTAAAATAACCCTTTTAAAAAATTCTGGTCATGGACCCCAAATGTTCTTGGTGCAAAAATTCTTTTTCAACTGAAGCATAAGAACTTTATTTTGAATTTTTGAAATAGTAACCCCACTCAGCCCTCCAACATTGATGATTTATATTAGATATATGTGTACGTGTGCAAATGTGTCTGAGTGTGAATGTGTGTGTGCGTGTGTGTGTATTCATGAAAAAGCTGATGTGATCCAGGTCTTATGCTCTTCTTATCTATAACTCAGCTGCTAAAACATAAAGCTCTTGTTCTCTGGGCCATCCCATCTGACAGCTCCATCCTTACTGGATCTTTCTATTCAAACATCCACATGGACACAGGGAGGGGAGCACTACACACTGGGGTCTGTTGGAGGGAAATAGGGGAGGGACAGCGGGAGATAGGGAGTTGGTGGGGGATGGCATGGGGAGAAATGCCAGGTATAGGTGAGGGGGAGGAAGGCAGCAAATTACACTGCCACGTGTGTACCTATGCAACAATCTTGCATGTTCTTCACATGTACCCCAAACCTAAAATGCAATTAAAAAAAATACAAACATCCAGAACACTCAGGAACAGGTTCCTGTCCCAACCCTGATAAATGCTGCTCTTTCATATCTCAAGGAGAGAAAACAGGAATTTCACCAAATGTCCTCAGATTTGGGCATGCTGGATACACAGGACACTCATCTAAATCTGCAATGAAGGGGACAAACATTCTCCTTTGGGAAAATCTTTATTACATAAATATATTTACACCAAGATATACATGCAGAGGAAGGTCTCCCTATACACAGAAGGTCCAGGTGTCATCTATGAAAGACACGAGGGTCACTGGTTATAATTGAATCTCATGGCACCTCATTTTCCTCATCACTGGATGCTTTCTCTGGGTTAGCAAAGGTCAGGAAGACTTGTTCCAGTGTGATCTGACTGATGGAATAGTCTTCTAAATCAAATTGCTCTTTAGCTTGCTCCAAAATGCCAAACACCTTTAACAACAGCCACAAAAACGCAGTTACCATTGCAATCTCCCCTCAGCCCCCAACTCAGATGAGCCTCTTCTCTACACCCCTGGTTCCTGCCAAGTGTATGCTGGAGGACAAAAGGCACAGAGAGGAGAGGTGAGAAAGTGGAAGAACAGAAAATTAAGAAAGTGAGAGGAGGCCATTCTCTGTTCCCATTCTCTTGATGGACATGGAGTAACAGTGGAATTTAGGGGAAGAAATTGAAGCTATTAAACTCTAGGGATTTGAAAAGCAACCGAATGGTGCTACTCCCCCAACAATGCCAGGCTCCCATTCCACATTCCCAAATCCCAAATATTCCCCATTGTTAGTGTTCTCTTTTTTTTTTTTTTTTTTTTTTTTTTTTTTGGTTTTTTTTTTTTTTTTTTTTTTTTTTTTTTTGAGACGGAGTTTCACTCATGTTACCCAGGCTGGAGTGCAATGGCGCGATCTCGGCTCACCGCAACCTCCGCCTCCTGGGTTCAGGCAATTCTCCTGTCTCAGCCTCCTGAGTAGCTGGGATTACAGGCACACACCACCATGCCCAGCTAATTTTTTGTATTTTTAGTAGAGACGGGGTTTCACCATGTTGACCAGGATGGTCTCGATCTCTTGACCTCGTGATCCACCCGCCTCAGCCTCCCAAAGTGCTGGGATTACAGGCTTGAGCCACCGCGCCCAGCCGTTAGTGTTCTCTTAACATGCAACGTTAGAAGGGCAAGGTTGCTATCATCACCTTTCCCCAGCGGTTGTCCTTGCTGGGAATGTAGTAGTTAAGGATTCCTTGATTTTCATGTTTTAAGACACTACCTAAGAAAGGAAAATAGGACAGGTGAATAATCTTATAGGCTTTATTTGAAATTGCCAAAATATCACTACATGTACTTAATTATATACTGCAGAGGGGTGAATAGAGGAGGCCAATATAAAAGCAGATATGATCCACTAACCCACTATCTTTGGTATCCATGACATGGTTAATGCTTTCAGCAGATTTATTCCTCATGAAATCATCTTCTTATGTGGAATTCATAGCAATTATTGAAGGAAGGATTTGAGGTACAGTAAATTACTAGCTGGCATGCCCAATATAAAAAACCTGAGCCTTCTAAAAGTCTAATGCTTACAGAGGAACCTGATCCAAGATGGCCTATTAGAAGTGGCTGCAGTTCACAGCACTAAAGGAGAGGGATAGAGAGGGATGAGTGAATTTAGCACCTTCAACTGACGTATCCAGATTCTCACATTGGGACCGACTAGGCTAACTCGACCCATGGAGAAGGAAGAAGAGCAGGGGGTGGAGATGGCCCACCAAGTAGCTACATGAAGCCAAATGTACCCCCACCCCTAGCCAAGAGAAGCAGCTAGTGATTATGAGACCCTGTCCAGGAAAGCATGCTTTTCCCAAGGATCTTTGCAACCCACAGATCAAGAGATCCACTTGTGAGTCCACACCACCAGGGCCTTGGGTCTGATACACAGAACTGTGTGAAGTCTTGACAGAGCATCCACTTAGGCATACACAGAGACCCAGGGGTTTTACATACTCCGACCTTAGGATCCCCAGCAAGGCAGGAGGTCCATCTGTACATATCTCTAGGAAGGAAGCTGAATCCAGGGAGCCAAGCGTGTTATTCTGCAAGGTCCCACTTCCACATCATGTCACAAGTTAAGACCAACTGGCTTGGAATCCCAACCAGCCAATGGCAGTGAGTTGGAGTTCCCCTGAGATGATGAGTCCAAGCTCCTGGAGGGAGGGGCAGCTGCCATCTCTGTGGTTTGGTTGACTCAGCTGCTTCAGCCTGTCAGCTTTAAAAAATACAGGCAGCCCAAACAAGAAAATGTTCCCCGCAACACAGCACACCTGCTGTACCAAAAAGCAGCCAGACTGCTGCTTTGGGTGGGTCCCTGATCCCATTCCTCCTGACTGGGTGAGACCTCCCAACAGGTGTCTCCAGCTACCTCCCCTACAGGTATGTGTAGGCTGGTGACCAAAGGAGGGACTCCTTCCTAACTTATTCTATGAGGCCAGCATCATCCTGATACCAAAACCTGGCAGAGATACAACAAAAAAAGAAAACTTCAGGCCAATATCCTCGATGAACATCAATGCAAAAATCCTCAATAAAATACTGGCAAACTGAATCCACTCACACATCAAAAAGTTTGTTCACCATGATCAATTTGGCTTCATCCCTGGGATGCAAGTTTGGTTCAACATATGCCAATCAATAAACGTGATTCATCACATAAATATAACTAAAGACAAAAACCATATGATTGTCTCAATAGATGCAGAAAAGGTCTTTGATAAAATTCAACATTCCTTTATGTTAAAAATTCTCAATACACTAGATATTAAAGGGACATACCTCAAAATAATAAGAGCCATATATGACAAACTCACAGCCAATATCATACTGAATGGGCAAAACCTGGAAGCATTCCCCTTGAAAACTAGTACAACAACAAGAATGTCCTCTTACCACTCCTATTCAACACAGTATTGGATACAGTATCTTGGTTGGCAGTTTTTTTCCTCTTTAGTACATGTCATCCCACTCTCTCTGCCTATGAGGTCCCTGTTGAGAAATCTGCAGCTAGCCTTATGGAATCTCCCTTATATGTTATTTGCTTTTTTTTTTTTTTTTTTTTNCTGCTGTCTCCTGGCCTTTAGATATCTGCTGAGAAGTCTGGTGTTATGTATATTGGGATTTCTCTATATGTTGTTTGCTTCTTTTCTGTTGCTACTTGCAGGATCCTCTCTTTGTGCCTGAGTTTTGAACATTTAATTATAATGTCTTGAGGTAGTCTTGTTTGTATTGAATCTGAATGCAGATATGTCACCCTCTTGTACCTGGATATTTATGCTTTTCTTAATATTTGGAAAATCTTCTGTTTTTATTTCTTTAAATAAGCTTCCTAACAATTTGTTTTTTCTTCTTCGCAAACTCTTATAACTTAAACACTGGCTGTTTTGATGCCATTCTATAAATCCCATGAGCTTTCTTCACTCCTCTTAATTTTTCTTTTAATCATCTAATTGTATATTTTCAAAAGGCATCTCACTTTATATTTTCAAAAATCCTACTTTGAGGTGAGATATTTTTCTCTGCTTGATAAATTCTGTTGTTAATGCCTTCTACTTCATTTTTCATTTTATTCACTGTATATTACATATCCGTATCTGTTTGATTTTTTTTTAAAGTAATTTCAATTTCTACATGAAGTTACTAGTCTGGGTCATTTATTGTTTACCCGATTTTGTTGAATTGTTTTTCTGTATTATCTTGAAGTATGCAGAGCTTTCTCAAAGTGATTTATTGATCACATCAAATAGAACCTCTGACACAACAAGTCTTCAAAAATGTTTGTCACATGAATGCATAAGTGAATATTCAACTTCTTAATAGACATATCCATCTGCATGTGTGATGGGCACATCATAAACACTATGGCCAACAGCAAGGTGATTATTTTTCCACACAGCTTGTTCTCCACTTGTGCTTGACCATCCATTTCGTATCTATTTTCTGATTTTCTTTCCTTCCTTCCTCTCCTTCCTCTCCTTCTTTCCTTCCTTCCTCTCCTTCCTTCCTTCCTTCCTCTCTCTCCTTCCTTCCTCTCCCTCCTTCCTTCCTTCCCTCCTTCCCTCCTTCCCTCCTTCCTTCCTTCCTTCCTTCCTTCCTTCTTTTCTTCCTTCCTTCCTTCCCTCCTTCCCTCCTTCCCTCCTTCCTCTCCTTCTTTCCTTTCCTCTCCTTCCTTTTTTGACAGGGTCTTTCTCTGTCACCCAGGCTTTAGTGCAACGGCATGACCTCTGCTCACTGCAACCTCTGCCTCCAGGGTTCAAACAATTCTCTTGCCTCAGCCTCCTGAGTAGCCGAGACCACAGATATGCACCACCATGCCCAGCTAATTTTTGTACTTTTAATGGATATGGGTTTTCACCGTGTTGGCTGGGCTGGTCTTGAGCTCCTGACCTCAGGTGATCCAACCACCTCAGCCTCTCAAAGGGCTGGGATTACAGGCCTGAGCCACTGTGCCTGGCCCTGATTTTCATTCTTACTGTGTAATCAGTTTTGCTATTTTCCATTGCCTCGGAGACAAACTTTCAACCTTTTAGCCTAACACACAACAGGAACTTCTGTGATATTTTTCTCAGCCTACCAAAGTGGAAACTAAGATGAAAAACCAGAATTATTAAAAGCTTTGCCATTGCCTATGCTTTAAGTTAAGGAAAGAGAGATAAGAGACAGATCAAAATGGGTGCTCTGTCTTGTACTGTTCCATGTAGGCAGACAGGTGGTTATTGAATTTAGCATGAAAAAACAGCACTCAGAAACCAAACTACTCTTGAAAGGAGAGAAACAACAGTTCTTATTTGCATTTCAATAACACATCCTAGCTGAGACAACAAAAGCATAAAGTTACATGCTTAGTGTGAAGGAAAAAACCTTAAAATTTTGCACAAATAATCTGAAAATAATTGAGAATTATGTGAAAAATATGACTTTAGATATATATTTTTATTTATTATTATTATTTTAGAGATGGAGTCTTGCTCTGTCACCCAGGCCAGAATGCAATGGCACAATCATAGCTCACTGCAGCCTTAAACCCTGGGGCTCAAGCAATTCTGTGGCCTCAGTCTCCCAAGTTGCTGGAATTACAGGCATGAGCTACTGCGCCCACATAATTTATATGGACAGCACAACTATTAAACTGCCTCGTTAGGTGATGTAAGAGCTTGTGAGAACCTCTGTTTTTTTGTGAAACTTAGCATAATCTGGCACAAGACACATAGTATCAAACATTGACAAAGGAACATTATAGAAAATCGATACATATCAATAACTCACAGGAAACTGGTACCGAAGACATAAATCATATGGATGGTGAGAACAACAAATATGATTTAACACACTTCTCAAACTCCTGAGCTCAAGTGATCTGTCTGCCTTAGTCTCCCAAAGCGCTGAGATTACAGGCGTGAACCACTGCGCCTGGCCGATTTAATACATTTCTGACAAAGGTAGCACAACTTAATTTACCTGGAAACGTTGTCGTAACATAACATTTAAAATCCTCTAATTTAGCTTCAGTCTTGAACTTGACCTTCAGGATGTAAATGTTGCCAAACTTGTTCTTGAGATGCTGAGGGCTGCCCAAGCACATGAACTTCCCCTGCACCATGATGGCAAGACTGGTACAGAGGGCATCGCATTCCTCCATACTTGCAAAACAAAAACGGCAGAACGTTTTAAGGGTAAAAATAAAAAATTCTCTTTTGGAGGACATTGTGTAGTTCAATCAGAGCCAGAATTTTGTGACCCTATTTTCAATTGGAAGCTGTATTTTTCCAATTATAAAGCTCATAGCTGGGAAGTGGGAATATTTCAAATGAAAAATAATAGAGTGCCCTATCTTCAAACAGAACATCTTCTGAAGTCCTGTCTTTTCCTCACTTTTTTTAAACTTGATGAGGATTTTTAGCCATTTGATTTATTAGGATTAGCATTAGGAATTTATTAGGAATTCTAATTCCTAATGAGGAGCTAACACACTTAGGCAAGTTTACTGTACAATATTATCCACCAGGCCTAAATAATTCCCTCTTATGGCCACTAAAACTCTTGCTAACCCTCAACCAACCCTTCTGATGAGCCACACCTGTGGGAGGTTATAACGATGGCTTTTCCACTTTCACATGTCTTTGTCACTGCGTCCCAGAGCAGGCGTCGGGCTACTGGGTCCATGCCAGTTGATGGCTCATCCAGGAAGATGACTGAAGACCTTCCCATTAGGGCAATAGCAGTACTCAGCCTACGTTTGTTTCCTCCACTTCATGGCCAAAGAAGGAGAGAAAAAGTGGGAGAAGAAATGGCTATACATACCATTATGTATAGGAAAGAGTTATACAAATTTCCCAAATGCTGTGAGTCCAAGCAAACACTTAACCTGAACATTCACAGTACTGATTAGATGTGACTTTGATTAGGTATCAGGCCCAATTACAGACAAGTGTATCAATTCATTTTGAGACATAGAGGAGTGATTTTATGTAATTAATTTTGGCAGCATTATCAGTGGCATTTATTTACAAGTTCTTAGAGTGGTATGGTTTCCAAGGCACATAAATCACATATAATTCAAAGGGCCTACATTCCTCCTTATTTGGTAGACAAAGAACTATAGGGACACTAGGAAGAGGAGACACTCCTTTTTTTTTTGAGGTTCAGAGGATACAGTTCAACTAGAACCAAGACTCTGAGTTTCATCTCTGCAAAGGGAAGATGTGGAACTGTATTGATTTGCCTTATTACTGGCATCTGAAGCCTAGAAAAACATTAGTTTCACAAGTAGGTAATGTGGGAAGAGGAGCTTAGGTGGAGCTATAAGCTTCATTTCAAACAGCAAGGACAAAAGGAAGTACCTCAATTTAGCAGCATCAACAAAAAAGAGCAGCAGCATAGTGACTCACCTGTAGGTGCGGATAAGCTTGTCAGCATGAGACTCCAGGTCCAGTGAATTCAACCATTTGTTCACATACAGCCCAATCTGGGGCTCAGAGACTCCCCATATTCTGGCATACATAACCATTATTTCCTGAGCAGTCATATATTCCAGCAAGGCATCAAATTGAGGACAATAGCCAATTCTTGACCTCACCTAATAACAAAAATTGCCTTGAGTAAAGACCCAAGTCATCCATCCCACTACACACCCACTGATGAGATAGCAAACCTGCAGTCCTCCAAGCCCGGCTTCTAAGAGTCCCATCAGGATTATTATTATTATTTTTTTGTAAAGGGCTACAAAATTACAGCTGTCAGACCTATTGTAGGACTTTGGGATAATAGCTTCCATAATTCAGTTTTAACGATCTTGTGGATAAAGAAGTTAGAAATAAAATTCTAGAGCCACTCAGTTTGGAGGACTATTAGAATATGAGATGCTCTTATTAATCAGGAACTCCAAGGAGCATGGCCACGATGATGTTTTGGCTTTGTTTAATCTGTAGAGCCATATGTACATCTTGTTGCAGAGTAAAGCTGAACCAGAAGCAAAGCCTTTTTGCACTAATCCCCAAACCAGAGACTGCAATAAATGTTGCTTTACCAATTAGTCAAATCCTTCTATTGATTTGCATTGAGGTGCATAGCCTAAGATCTAGAGAAAAGGCTATCAATTTCAATTAAATCAAATTACTAATTAATTTACAGTGTTTCCAAACTATTCATGCCCCCTAAACTCCTGGCATGGCACAATTCCCTGCCCCTCTGTTTGAAGTGACGGGGCTTTAAAACACAACTGCATGTATAAAGAAATTTAGAAAGTAACATGCTCAGGGAAAGACACAGACTTAGAAAATGCCTTAGAAGAACTTAGTTTCACACCCCAGGCTGATCCTAAGCACAGAGACAGCCTACAACAATCCAAAAAACAAAAACAATAAGAAGTAACAAATAACAACAAGCCTAGGAGAATGAGGAGAATATAATTTCCAGAATTACCACTTTATTAGAGTCGAATGTCCAGTTTTTAATAAAACTCAAAAGCATACAAAGCAACAGGAAAGTATGACCCACCAAAGGAAAAAAATGAATGAAAACCATTACTGAAAAAGACACGAGGGCAGATACACTAGAAAAGTACTTTATGTCTTAACGATGCTTTAAAAACTGAAGGAAGATGTGGAGAAAGTCAAGAAAATGATGTGCAAACAAAATGGAAGTATCAATAAGGAGGTAGAAAATTTTAAAAGGAAACAAAAAAATTCTACAGTGGAAAAGAACAATAACTGAAATAAAATATTAACTAGCAGGATTTGAAAGTCACATTTGAATAGGCAGAAGAAAAAAATAGTTAACTTGAATATAGGACAATGGCAATTATTGAGTCTGAGGAACAGAAAGAAAAAACATCAAAAGAAAAGAAAAGAAAAGAAAAAAGATTAAAGAAATGTAAACAGAGCCTAAGCGAACTTTGAAACACCATCAAGTGGACCAATATATACATTCTGGTATTTAAGAAGGAGAAGAAAGAAAAGGGCAGAGAGATGATTTGAAGAAACAGTAATTGAAAACTTTCCAAATTTGATGAACGTAAACATCCAAGAAGCCCAATGAACTCTAAAATGAACTCAAAGAGACCCATATCAAGACATGTTATTATCAATTTGGCAAAAGCCAAAGAGAGAGAATCTTGAAATCAGGAAGATAGAAGCCATAGATCACATTTTTAAAAAATCTCTGAAGATTATTAGCAGATATCAGAAACTTCAGCAGCCAGAGGCAAGGGGCTGAACCAGAAGCAGAGCCTTTCCCTATGCACCTTCAAAAGTGTTAAAAGAAGTAAACTGTCAAACAAGAATCTTGCATCTGGCAAAACTATTTAAGACTGAAGAAGAAATTAAGACATTCTCAGATAAACGAAAGTTGACGGACTTTGTTGTCAATAGACCTGTCCTGTAGAAAATGCTCAAAGAAGTCCTACAAGGCGAATGAAAAGACACTGGACAGTAAGTTAATGTCATATGAAGTAAAGATCTCAATGAAGGTAAATACATAGAGAGTTATAAAAGCTAATATTATCATAACAAAAATTTGTTACTCTACATTTTGTTTTCTATGTAGTTTATAATTTTAATGCATTTAAAAATTATTTATGTTTTGGTCACATAGTGTATAAAGATGTAATTCTGTGACATCGACAACTGAAAGGGGTGGTGATGGAGCAGAGTTTTTTTGTGTTACTGAAGTTAAGTTGATATAAATTCAAATTAGTATTATAACATTAGTATATTAAATATAATCTGTCTGGCAACTACAAAGAAAATAGTTACAGAATATGTACAAAGGAAAATGAGAAAGGAATTAATATGTTTTACTACAAAAAAATCAACTAAATACAAAGGAAAATAGTAATGCTGGCCAGGTGTGGTGGCTCACACCTGTAATCCCAGCACTTTGGGAGGCTGAGGCAGGTGGATCACTTGAGGTCAGGAGTTAGTGACCAGTGTGGCCAATATGGTGAAATCTGTCTCTACTAAAAATGCCAAAAAAAAAAAAAAAATAGCCTGGTGTACTGGCACCAGCCTGTAATCCCAGCTACTCAGAAGGCTGAGGCAGGAGAATTGCTGGAAACCAGGAGGCAGAGGTTGCAGTGAGCTCAAATTGTGTCACTGCACTCCAGCCTGGGTGACAGAGAGAGAATCAGTCTCAAGAAAAAAAAAGTAATACAGGAAATTTGGGATAAAAAAGCTATAAAGCATACAGAAAAAATAGCAAAATGATGGAAATAAGTTTCTCCTTATAAATAATTACTTTAAATATAAATAGATTAAACTCTCCAATCAAAAGACAGAGATTGGCAGAATGAAGTTTAAAAAAAATGACCCAACTAGATGCTATCTCCAGGAGACTCACTTTAGATCCAAAGATACAAGCAGACTGAAAATGAAAGGATGGCAAAAAAATATATTCCATGTATTTAGTAATCAAGTGGGGTGTAAGGGTGGCTACACAATATCAGATAAAATAGACCTTAAATCAAGAAAATTTAGAAGTAGCAAAGAATATTACATATATATATATATGTATATATATATATGTGTGTATATATATATATATATAT